TGCTGGACAGCCTGGAACACCTGGTCGAACTCATCCAAAGCCATTGCCTCCTGGAAGGTAGTGATACCCGATTGCCGTAGCAGCTGCATCGCAGCCAGGGCGGCCTTGACGGCCTCTTCTGGTGAAGGCAGTGGTATATCGAGTAGATCAGACGCATTGTCCTGAAGTACACCTGAAGGCTCCTGGCTTCCGGGTAGTCGTTCGATAACGCCATTGGATGGGCTTGGAGTCGCAGCGGTGATGTTGGATATCTCCAAAGCCCGAGAATTCACCAGGACGCTGTGGTAGTCGCTCGAGCGGACGACTACGGGTCGCTTCGTCTTGAGCGCATCGATGCTTGTTTTGTCGACTGATCCACTCCGAGATGTGAGAGTGGAATAGTCCACGTTCACCGCTTCCATCCAAGCGTCGTCCGGTTTATCCGGTTCGTCGTCAATGCAGCGTTGGATGTGCTGAAGAACTCCAGGTAGGTCGAGAGGTTGGTAGTTGAGATCGCATTTCAGAAGAAAAATGCCACCACCGAGGACGTGCATGTGAGAGTCGATCAAGCCTGGAATAGCAGCGTGGCCTTGAAGGTTGACCACCTGGGTCGTATTGCCAATACGTACTTTGGCATCTTCGTTCGATCCGACAAAGGTGATGACGCCGTCCTTGATTGCCAGCGCTTCGACCTTTGACGAATACGCGTCCAGCGTGTAGATGGAGCCGTTGTGGAATACGGTGTCCGCGAAGGATGGCTGTCGTGCTGGTATGGCGGCCGTTGCGGCATACAGCGCTGCCGTAGTGAGTATTCGCATGAGCATAGTGGTTCCAGAGGCAGACATAGAGAAGCTGGTATGTAGAACTTGATGGTGAGAATGCTCATCCTTGGTCTCGATACCATATATAAGAAATCACCCATCATACCGGTGATTCCAGAGTCCGCAACGCGCGAAGCGTATGCTTGCAGTATATTCTCTCGGCCGTAAGTGATGTTGTATCTCTTGCCTAGACAGGAAAGTACACGCGTTTCTGGAGTGGCTGATTGCTACGAAGTATCGCCGACAGCCTCATGTTCGGATATCTTGGCACGCCGAACCCTCAGCGACAACACGATGGGATGACACGGAACATAAGCAAACTTCGTACGAATTTATGTACGAGGACATTCGGGGTTTCGGAGTCCGGAGGAGAGATCGTTCATGCAATTTGAGGATAATAAGTATTTCTTGAAGAGTGGAGGAGCGGCCAAAAACAGCGAACGGAGTCTACACACCAACGCGTCTCAGTACATCGCGCATCAATGAGATGTGTACACCGATGGCCCGAGAATGTGTCAGCATCGCGTCCTCTTGGTAAAACGTAGACATTGATTGTCCAGGCATATCAGCCTTTGATGGCATCCGCCAATGGCTGAAACCACGCTTTGGCCAGCTTCTTATTACCCGCATCATTCGGATGAACGCCATCGCCCGTCATAGTCTTCGTGTCGAACCCAGTCCACGCGTCTACGACCATGATGGGGCTGTCTGCACTCGTCTTGGTTGCCGCCCAAGCTTGAATCGCAGTGTTCAGGGCAACGACACGTTGTCCACACTCAGCGCAGTTCGAAGGGCTCATGGGAATGATCTTCGCGGCGAGAACCTTCATCGTGGGCTTCGAGGCGCGCATCTGGTCCACGAGCTTGCTGAATGCGGTGGTGATCTCTTGAGGCGAGCGGTTGCTCCACACGTCGTTCGTACCGAGGTGCATCATGACGATGTCGGGTTTGGCGGATGAGAGCCAACCGGGAAGCTGGTTCTGGTTCGCGATGTTTACTGCTAGAAAGCCGCCCTGCCGTTCCGGATTAGCCATGCAATGGGCGCGTGACGATAAGCTTACATGTCCCTCGTTCTCTCCGTCGTATGGAAAGCCACAGCCCTGGCCAGCCAGACTGCCAACAAAGTCGGTGTTCTTGATACCGGCTTCTTGAAGGTTTTGCCAGAGGTAAGCCCGCCAGCAGCCCTGTGTAGTGTTTAAGTACGTATTGCAGTAGTATTGGTGCAAGGTACATACTGGGCTACCGGTGATCGAATCGCCGAGAGTCATGATCTTCACCGTCGATTGGCGATTTGTCAGTTCCATTGGAGTTGCTGATGCTGCTACTGCCAAGGCTGCGATAGCCAGCCATGCCGAGCGGATAGTGACGCGCATGTTGGTAGGGTGTATACTTTTCGTACCGTGTTGGGCGGAGCGCAACTTCTAGATTGTTATCGAACGCCTATGTAGTGCAATCTTTGTGTCCTTCGAAATCATCAAGATATACCTAGGTATACACCGAAGGGCTCAGCTCCGCTTATCCCAAGAATAAGCCGGCTGGTCCAGCTGAAGGTCTTGGTATAGTGTCTAGTTGGCGGTAATGACACTTTCTCCGATGATCATGGGGTGCTCACTTCCAGTTTTCATACCTCGCCTTGCCAAAGAAACACGTAAAATGGCCTCAAAGAAGTCGCTCCATGGATCCACAGTTCATCTCGAAATGACGCACCCCGCAATATGTTAATCAATCTTGCACGAGAAGACCCACCAATGGTAATCGTTAAAGACAAGGTCTTCCGTATTTTGTGTACCCGCGATCCAACTGGAATGCATCTCTCTTTGCAGATGCGACGGCCAAGGCGAGGTGAATAAACAGGTGCTATATGCGATGCAACCAGCGCGGCCCACCGAGCTCCGCGCCGAAGTGGGATGACAACTACACGATCACGTCGGAAGGCGTGACAGGGGAGACACGCACACTCCTAATGGCGATGGTGTTGTCGCAGACGATATTGATGTTGATGAGAGTGGGTGTGAGTGATGCGAAGAAAGGAAGTAGACGACCAGGTGGGACGATGCTGCGGCGCTCAAGGCCCCTGGGGCCGGAGCGGGTCGCGCACTTCCCCGCTGCCCAGGCCGTCATCGACACTAACGGCAAAGGATTCTAGCGAACTGTTGTTACATGCCCAGGTACCTACAAGGAAGCAACTGTGCAAAGATTAGTCATTTTTGATTTATCGTGTTCCTCAACCCCAAGACAAGCGTTCTACCACGTCGGACGGTCGGATGATAGCCCCCGAGCCGTACCTGGGTACCTACCTAGGTAGTCTTGCTGGATGATGCAAAACTCAACGCCACGATAGATCGCGATGTTCGACCAGTCACCTTATTTACATCTCACGAGGAGCGGTCCAGCAAATGATGAAACACGAGCTCTTGCTCAATTGCAAGTCCCTCAGCGCAATACCTAGGCACTTTGCATTGCCTAGTTAGTGTAGAAGGTGAGGTATATACCAGCCTGCTGTTTCCTCGGTCTCGACATCAAGGAGACTAAAGAGAAGAAGCTTGATAGTGGTACACCTATTCCCCTGCGTGTTCAGGATAGATTCTAGTGGTTATGCTAGACGCCTGCTTCTTGTCGATCGCAATGTTGCGACAACCGCAAAACCAGCACGTAGTGACCGAGATAGAGTTTAGACAGATCATGAAGGTTTATTATACGCGATCTAAATAAAAGCTCCGTTGATATTCACATTCCGCTAGACGCTACAGGTGTTTTCGCCGTGCCATGACATGTCAGATCTGCGATCGGGCTGGGTTTGAGTTCGCAACCAGGAGGACGGCTCGGAGGTCTGGGTATAATGGGGATTGAGAGCCGTTGCAAGGAAGCCCTGGGCGGAGTGAATGTACGTGATTCTTTCCGCGGCCATGGGTACATGTTCACGGAATCTTTCGCCATAGGACGCGGTGCAGAAGTCCGATCAGATTCGCATCCCGGGTATGAGATTGTCCCATCCATGACATAGCGTATTGGAGATTCCCATTGATGAGTAAACATCGTACGATTGAAGTCGATGATCTCGTGAATTGTCACCGTTGGGGCGTGATGGGAAGCGTCACAGAACATTAGCGCATAAGCGAACGTACTCGGATGTCCTCGAGATAGTGTCCTCCGATAGTATTCTCCTGGAAACACTAGAAGCTGCCCCTTTGGCACGTCGAACATTGCTGTCCTTCCATTCTGATCTGCTAAGGCACGTCAGTCGTCAGGGTCAATGAAACCCGGTACACTGGTGAGATCCAGTGTCACCGGCCCTTCTTCTGCCGGTTTCCGATCTATGTATATGAGAGATGCGATTCGTCTAACACAAGGTGTTTTGCTACTGTACTCAACTACGCGAGGACGCCCGGGAGGCAGAGCGCCGATCGTTCGGAACACTCTCCGACAGGTATGGAAACGACCAGCGATCCGGTTCGCGGACCGATTGAGATTGCTATAAGTACATACGCGATTCACGTTCGCGAAAGGGAGGCAACGGATATAAGAAGCGACCGGCATGCTGGTGCGCAATCGGGCCGTTACCGAGGTGCCAGGCTCGAACGGGCTAGCGAGAGATGCCTGTGGAGATGCCGGAGGGTGATCGACAGCTCCGTCGGCATCGTCGACGTTGCGTGCCACAGGGAGCATCTCCGTCAGACGCGTGGCTCACGTGTCATGCAGATGACGGCGGCAGGTCGGTTCAAAGCGTCCGTCGATGTTGAGGCCTCATGCTTGGCCGTGTTAGGCAGGCGGCATGTTGTAGCCCAGCGCTCAGGTACGTACCTTGGTGCGCTATCCACGAACCCCTTAGGCACTGGGGCTGGGGCTATACTCGAAGGATATCAAATTCAAGCCTTCCGGCGGGTGGCGCTGCATTCTCGCCCGAGTCCATGATCGCGGCTAATAGTGGAGGCCAAGACTGGCATTAGCCATTCAGCGCGCGGCGGAGTTCGACTGTATGAACGAGTGGTGGGTATAGGAAAGAGGCGTTTTGCGCACTGCGCCCTCGGGCTCAGGAGATGGTAACCGAGATGCGTTCCCTGGCAGGCGGCACGTCGCGAGGTACCGTGCGCTGTTCCGTTGGGAGCTTTCAACATCAGACCGGGAAGTGGAGAGGAGAGGAGACGGGTTCATGCATGAGCAGGTTTCGGAAGAAAAATGTCAAATTCTATGTTACAATCGCTCAGTGAAGTACCGAGTTTGGCTCAGCGACGAGATCCTTCTGGCTCTCGCTGTCGCTGATACGCGAGCTCTGCTCGAAATGCTGCTCGAAATGTCGCGAAACGTATATGTTCTTGCCATACATGCCTCCTTCTTCAGAAGTTGTCTGGTATGGTGTCGTGCTACCTGGTCGACCCAATTCGAAATCATCGTCCATGCGCCTTGCTGTGCTCCTGACACCAATTTGCTTCGTGCTGGCTCCAGTTCCCGTGCCATTTCCGTAGATTGCTCTGCTGGCGTTGAGCGATGAAGAGAATCCGGGAATGATTTTGACGACCAGTGGCTTAAGTGCAGGAAGTGATGCGCACACGATAGCAAGGTTCATCTCGATCGCGGACCAGTAGGCTGTTGGTGCACTGTAATAAGTGTTGTCATCGGGATGTGCAACCAGGACGACGAGGGCGTGGAGCCGAAGGATCGACACGACACACACGAACCAACCGATAGTAAGGATGGCGAGGAGAGCAACCTTCTGACGCATGGCGATTTGCAGGGTCCAGATGACTCGAACGGGAAGGAAGGCGACGAGAAGATCGGTTACGATGTTGATGCTAGCGTTCACATACCAAATCCTATTGTCAAATTAGCATTGCGCATCGTAAGGCTGAGCAAGTTGGTAGCACTCACGTCTTGTTGTCGATACACTTCGAAGTCGGCTGCTCAAGGATCTTCCAGTAAGCGTGGATAGGGACGCATGTGAAGATCGAAGTGATGATCGTAGATACACCCCAAAGAATGCAAATGGCCATAACGATGTGGAGAGGGATGCGCATTTCTCGCACAGTGAAGATTCGGCCGTACTGCAGAAGGATAGACACTTTGGTGAACATGAGGCTGGCGTTGTAGCAAATGATACTCCAGAAGAGGTACTGGGATATATTAGCTTGATACTATGAAGAAAGGATAGTTCCTCACCTTCAAGATGATTTCAACTCCGGTAGGGAACTCGATGAGGGGAGCGTGTTTGCCGTTGCCAGCGTTGGCTTGCATGACCTGAAGTATACCGGTCGCGATGGAGAGAGCCATAGAGACTACGATGGTGTAGTCTTCCCATCCTAATGCTCGTCCCAGGTATCGAAGCCGAGTGAAGAGACGTAGGCCAACGCATATCACCGCGATGCATGTAAAGGCAACGACGATAGACTTGGTGAGTGGACCTCGATCGTCCTTGGCCAAGGCAGCCGACTGTTCGGGTGTTAAAGGATCCATGGCGGTTGCAAAAAGGTACAGACGATGCCACACGTAGCTTGTCGATGTGTCGGACAGGTACGATGAGGCGACCAAGGCAATCCTTTACATATGTATTCGCGGTTCCCTGTGTGTGGAAGAGTACATGTGTCAGGCACTGCGCCCAGAGGTACCTGCACTGCAGGCTGCACGGGCTAGTGCGCCAGTTCACACAGAACCGGGATGCTACGTCGTTTGAGGAGGTATCCGAAACTCAAAACCGATGGATAAACATGACCCTGGAAGCAGCGGTAGGGAAGATCTGGGGAGATGCTGTGCCTAACGAAGGAGCTAGACTTAGCGGACGGCAAGAAGTTGGCTCGGGCCAATGAGACTATGGACTCCTCACTAAACACGCAAATAGTCTAGATTTGAGGGGCGTGTTCTCATGGCGAACCGCTGCAGTCAGCAAGACGACATACGAGGCCACTTGCATGATGCAGTCTATGCGTTTCTCATGGCGGATGCTGATCTTTGCCGTCAACCGAATGAACTTCTCCCAAGCCAGGAACTCGTCCCTCGGTTCACCGGGTGAAGATCATGCAGGTGCTTTGACGAACGAGCTTTCGCGTGGCGCACCCGATGTTACACAAGAAATCGTCTTGGTCGAATACGCGACGTCCGTTGCTGAATGACCAGGCTGGCTAAGTCCGTACGGAATGGCTTTCATGATCAGGCGAGAGCCCAGCACGAAGCTGTCGGCGCGAGCATACTGCGATTGTTTCTTGTACGGTCGAGCAGCATTGTTGTTCATTGGCCGTATCCTCAGCAAATCTTTCCGCCTCCGGTCTTGGCTGGTGAAGTTGTGCGTCCGCGTCAAGATAATATCTTCACATGCTGAGGGGTACACCAGCACGGAATACCGACCAGGGTACCACTCGAAGTTGGTAGCGTCATGCACGAAAGCCACCAAATACCGGCTAATTTGTGTGGTGTAATCTGCCCGTAGTCCTAGTGCGACACTAAAGTAGAAGATGGCGAGTCTTGATGTTCGGAAGCATCCCTGCGGATCGGACTTCAAACTCTATGATCGTTAGCTGCCTTACCGCGTACCAACCTGGTGCGCTCTGGTCCGCCGTTCAAGACAGGCCCTGCAAAATAACTGATTAGAAGGATACATCGTATAGTGCTTGTAAGGCGGGCCGCCTTTGTCCGTGTTGTAGACCGCGGGTTGAAAGAAACTCCAGTGTATTGATGAGGCGCAACGCCACGCCATGATTCCACCGTGTCCGCAGTTGTCTCAACAGGCGCGGAAGGCCTCGCAGCTGTACGCACACTCTTGTGCGTCGCAAACACCGTGCGAGATCATCTCGCCTAACAAAGCCCTGTTGAGTGTACTGCTGAGTCTTGTTACCGATCAGGCGTCACACAACATCGTGACGCATATGCAATTTTGGCATACCAAGCAATGCAGCATGTGTCGTTCGCGTGGGAAAGATTTGCTGAAGGATCATCCATGAGGTAACGTCCGTTTCAAACTCGAGTACTGCCTCAGGAACCGTGATCTCGTGCAGATATTGTGCTGGCAGCGACATAACGCGGGGTGCGGCAGGAATCCTACAGCTGAGGTGTGCCCGGACAGGGTCGGTTACAAAGTTTGCGCTACGTCAGCGATGCAGCCAGACGAACGCCCATGCAACATCAGTTGATTTGTGATCTGTCGCGCAGTACGAAAAAAGTTTTGTAGAAGTGCGTCATGATCTTGCCATGTAGAGTGCGTGCAAGCAAGTGGATGCCTGAGAACCTTGGAAGGGAGAAGATACCGGAACCTCGGAAGCATCTCGTGAAACGTGATCTCAGCCGGAACGGGTCGGTAGCGCCAAATTGTCTCCTTGGCGCACTAGTCTAGTTCGAGACCGCAGCAATGATTCTTTGAGAGCTGACCCGAACACCAGCCATAGACTGTGGTGTCTTTACTAGCCACGCAGATCTCCGAACCTCCTCAACGATGCAGGATTAGCGTGCGTATCTGAGTTGTAACGTGTGCTGCGTTGTGGCACGCATGTCGATTGCTGTTCTTATCCTACAGTACCGCGCCTCTGGCACCTTCACGTTTCGATAGCTTGAGTATGTATAGCCAGGGTCTTTCGAGATCCTGCACGAAGATGGGTTCGCCGTTGGATCGACATATGGCATGGCATCTTCGCGATTGACATAAGTAAGCGAAAACGGCGTAAGGCGCCCCGCAGTAGGTGTGAGCTGACCCGGACGAACAGTTCAAGCACAAGCCAACGTCTTCTCAGCAGTCTCGGAGCTCCAGTTCAGCGATCGTCGGCCCCTGATCTGCGGTCACTGGTCACTACCCAGAGAGTCACAGACCTTCGAACCAACATGTCACCTCGCATTAACACACCATTCCACGTCTGCCAGAACTTTATCTTCTTGATGTCATCTGCATGTCGCCGTTTCGGTCTCAATGGCGTTTGAGAATGCTGTGAACGAGCACAACTGTGCTCCACATGAACCGCGCCACTCGAATGACGTTGCTGAGAGGACATGTGAAGAACGAACTGATGCGGTGGGCGCTGCATGACACCCCTTTGGATACTAACAACATAGTCGATGATCCGGGAATGAACAACGATACAATTGTCATGGACGCAAGGCGGTCTACAAACGCCGGGAGAATACCATCAACACTTAGCTCGGTATCCAAACGTCGGTGGCCGGCTACCGGAACTCAAGGCTCTCCTGTGCTGGCTAGCTTCACGCCTTGCACCCGGTCCATCGTTCTTCGGAATCCGGATAAGCAAGCTGCGGGCGCATCCCGCTTGTCGGATGAGTCTCCGCTGGCGTACACTGAGATGGACGATCATTCAATAACACTGAACGTTCGTACGACTGCGTGCATCTGTGTGATTACTATACACATGTAAAGTTTCTTACTCACTGAGGTAAAACCGCATAGTGTAGAAGGACAGAAACAAATTGGTGTTGAGTTCACGCTGTCCACACACTCACATTCGCTGGACCCAGACTAAGCTACGAACGAAAAGCTTAATGAACAACAAATACCCTTTCTGCTTTCCTCTTTGCCACCATAGTCCTGTTGTGCAATGTCTCTCACTTTCAAGGGGAGAGAGTCTGAAAACGGGAGGAACCATTTTCACGACGCTCGAACCCAAGCCAATCAATGCCGCGTAGACCTATGGACTGGTCATCCAACGATGGCGACAGGATACTTACAAGACGATCTATCTGGTCTTGATTAAAGGACGCATCCCTCAGTTCGAAACCAAGCTTCAAGTAACCTCGTCCAGGGCGCCTACGGTGCTGCTGGAGTACGCTCGTATCATTTTCTGATTGCGCTATCGGTGTCAGAAGGATATTGCGCTTGTTCGGCAGCAAAGCCCACATCTTGGAGCTTATGCTTGAGCGTATTGGGTTCATCGCAATGCACCGGTAAAGGTCCTGAGTCGAGAACGAGGAGTGCCCATTCTGTTCGTGGAGCTCTTTCAATCCGTCAATCAATGCGCGCGTGAGCGACTCGGAGCCAGGAACTATTCTGTCACAGCTGCTTATCAACTCAAAACGCCTAGTAGTCTCTCGATCCCTGTAATTGGAGTCGCCTTCGTCATTGGACACATGACGTGTATCGCTGTTAGTCGCATACGTCGTGTCTAGTATCGCAAGAACGTCTCCATCGACTTCGTCCGAACAAAGAAAGTCTTCTGTCTTGTACCAGTTTATCTGACCACTGGTAGAAGTGCCAGCCGCTGATGGTTCCGAGGACGGTAAGAGCTCGAGTCGACCGGCATTCTTGTAGTGGATAGCATGGCCCGCATAGTACACGATCAACAAGGTATGAGGTTGATCGTAAGTCTCGACAAAGGTGGTCACAACTCGGTCCATCTGGTGTTGTGGTTTGCTTCGATAGCCAAGTTCAACAACGTCAATCTTAAAATGGAATCGGTCCTGGAAGACATTCCCGAGCTCTTCTACCTGTGATCAAATCAGAACACTTGCGTGAAGATTTTGGATGGTGCTAAAGTCCAACTTGAATCTAGAATCACTTACTTCGTTGCTAGTTCGGAGCTCATCCAATTCATCTTCCCATTTCAACAACAACACAGCCACTTTTGCATAGCCGCTGGGTGCCCCCATATTCCTGGCGATTGCTTCAGCCCACCAGTCCTGCATTTCCACTGAATGCTCTTGCGCCCTGTCGCCTGCAGACTGTTTCAGCCTTGAATTGCTTTTGTCTGGAAGAAACGTCTTAAAAGCTTCATCGGCGCTTCGTTTGCGTGAACCATCAAGTGCCAGCTTTCGCTGCATCTCCAATTCGAGGCGATCGAATGCATTTGCTTTGCCTTCTCCGTAGATAGGTGGCATGTGTACGTCGAAGAGGCCAAGTAGAGAGTAAATCGCGTCCTCCTCCCGTTTGGTTTCCCGCCCAGCTGCCCAGGACATGCGCTCTCCTATACTAAACTCTGAGAGATGCAGCGAGGAGGTCCCCAAAGCTCGCGAAGGAATAGTCGTTGCTTGACCGATGGCCTGCGACAGTGTTCGCTTATCACCTAGGCGATCACCATCAACAGTGAAGAACTCAACGGAAGATGGTGCGAGTAGTTCCTGTAGCGTCCAGCCTCTGGTGAACCATTTGCTCTTCTGGAAGGCAGCCTTCCAAGGCGTTCGCGGCGGGGCTGTCACATCGGAAAGATAGACGTAGCATCGGGTTGAGTGTTGATACCATGAGAACATGGAGTTTATCGCTTTCGAGAGTTCTACGCTATCTTTCTTATCAATGCAGCACGTATCCACCTAACGGGTATTAGCCGATGCGCAGAGGAACAAAACTATCGTCAGATTACCCAGGAAAACTCCAGACCATCATCGGCAGCTTGGTTAGCACAGAAGTGTAGTTTGGCATAGCCCTGCTTTTCTTTGCCCCTGCCTTTCACGATATCTTTGAACGACACTTCATCGTTATCGGAACCCCAGGTGTGTGATAGTATAGCGTAAGGCGGCAGCTGTCTGTCGTCATAGTCAGCAAGGCTGAACTCGCCGTCAGTGTCACGCCGCAGAAGGTGCATGTTGTAACAGCAGCGGAAGGAAACTGATCGAGTCGCCACCTAAGGTGGTCGCAATGGAAATTCGCAGATCGTGCGCTGACAGCAGCGAAGGAGTGGAAGATAACATGATCATGTCAGCAGTGGCGTGGCTATTCCGTTGAGGGATCGAGGTGCATCCTTCTGAAAGACATGGGTTGGCGTCGCGCGAAGCTGAAGTGGGGCGGGGCAGATTGGCAGGGTCTCCACCGGCGCTTTGCCCGCCTGGAAATATCTAACATTCCATCCACCGGACTTTAAAAACGAGAATGAATGGCGACCACCCCTCAAGCCTTGCAAATTCAGGATGTCTGCTCAGCAAGGCTGAGCTGAGCTGTGTTACCACACCCATGCGGTTATTGGCCAGCATGGTGAGCTGAGATGTGCGGCTGCGCCCCAGCCGCAGATTTCAGCCTTCCTACAACTGCCTCTCACGAACTCGTGTCTCTGGCCTCTTCTTTCGTCTGAACAATGTTGGATTCATCTATCTACTGACCAAACGCGATCGTTGATTCAAGCGCACTTGATGGCGGATCCCCTCAGTATTGCAGGGTCAGTGGTGGGGATCACTGCAGCCGGTGTACAAGCCTCAATCAGACTGTACGCAATCGCCGAGAAGGTCGTCACAGCCAGCCAGCGGGTCAGGAGTATTGCGGACGATATCAGCAGCACATGCGCCATTCTGAACCAGGTGCGCGAACTCATTATTCCTCAGCCTGATGCGCAAGGTACACTTAAGTCGGTCTTCAACTCCATCGCGCTGGGCGACATCTCACATGCTCTGCGTCGCTGCAGAGCAGTATTCACCGAAACCGAAGCTCTGTTGAGTAATGCATTTGAGCAAGTCAGAACCCGCTCTACTCCGCATTCAAAGATCGAGCTATCCAAATTCGAAAAGGCGAAATGGCCTTTTCTGCAGCCACAATTCGATGACTTACGAAACGATCTACGCGGAGCCAAAGGGGACCTCGTACTTATGATAGCCGTCGCCAGTCTTGCCCTTGCACAGAGAAATGGGCGTCAGCGACCAGTTCATGATAGGGAGAGACTGGAACTCGGATCTACGATTGTACAGCTGCAGCGAGCCCGTACCATCAAGCCGCAAGACCGGAGTACTGCAGAGACGTCTCAAAATCAGAGGCGCAGCCTGCGAAAGCTGTTTGGAATGCGTAAGAATGATGATACGGATGAACACATGATGCTCGAACGTAATCGGGGCATGGACAGCACACGAGTGTCGGTGTCTGGCAGTCTGAAACCCACGACGGCTTCTCCCCGCGAACTACGGCAAGATGCAAGATCTTCAACCCTGATCAACGACTGGGCACATGGTGTCCCTCCGAACGACGTCAATATAAGTCCCGAAGACACGTCGTCACCATCCACTGCAGGAGGAACGATCCTGGCCACGTTAGCATCGACTTCACGGCCCTTGGAACTGATGAGACGAAACGTGCCCGTTGCGCCGGACTCGCTACGGGAGCTGGATTCAGAAGAGCCAGATCCTCGAGACCAAAATTCTTTGCCAGCGACAGCAGCTTCGCCATCACCTTTCGTGCCGACTGCAATGACTCAACCAGCCCAGGAACAGCCGGAAGCGACAGTTACTTCAAGCACGCTTGCGGCCACTCCATCAATCGCAAGCGCGAGTAACGAAACGCGATACTATCAAGGCTGGGTCACCAACTACCTTGAAGGGCTGAGTACTGGTCAAGGGGATTCTCTTTCACCAGACCTGATGAAATTACCGGATCGATCGCTGGAGAAACTGGTCAAAATTTACACTGAGGAGGGTCGCGACCCACACATTGCAATATCGGAGCTCACCAAACAGCAGCAATGGCTCATTCAGCACAGCTGCTCAAAACGCCCTGACGCAGAAGTAGCATATGTGAATGTGCAGCATAACATCACTGTGCCCAGCGTATTTGGCCTACTGAAAATCGACACGCTAAAGTGGATTGTGGTGTCAAGATCACGTTTGCCGCCGATAGACTTTCATGGATATGAAACCGCATGGAGGCCTAAGAACGAGCCTATTGACTCACCCTCCAAAGTACCATTCAGCATAAGGTACTCCAGCAGGAGGAATGAGTTGGATCACGGATACATTGCCCATGGGCCATCATCTCCAGCGCCACCACTACGTGCTTACACTATCGATCATGATACGGAAGAGAAAGAGGATGATCTCAGTCGTTGGCTGTTGTCAAGGAATGGGCTACCGCAAACGAATGCGCCATCATCATCTGATAGGTTGCCGTCAACAGACGTGTTACCTGGGTGGATGAGGAGCCCGAAGCCCTATGAAGTCCCGATGCAACATGGAGGTGGGTGTGCCTATGACCCAACTCTCACGTATGGCTGTATGCAAGAAGAGCAGCAGGTATCTCCACCATCTCCGACGAATCCGACAACTCCTACTACTTCAACATACTTGGCCCAAACGCGTCGTCCGTCTGGCAGTGGAAGCCGTCCCGCCACTCGAGACGGCCAACGACCAATCAGCAATGAGATGGTCATAAAGATTGGCCAACGGCCCCGACACCCTAGAGTGGCACCTAATGACAGCAGCGGTAATTTACCGTACGTACCTACTGTAACATCAATTCTCCCTGCTCCTGGAGTCGATCGGCCGCGAAGAGTTCCTAGCAGGTTCCATCAGAACAGACCAAGCACAAGTTGGTTGTCTCCCTTCCGACGTAACAGAAACAATGCGCTGCCTCCTGTTCCGTCCACGGAACCCGTTCTGTACGCGGAGAACAAGGATGATAAAGAGGACGAAGAGGATGAGATAGTCAATGAGCTTCTTGCTCGATGGACGACATCGTGATCCAAGCTCTTTCTTTCATCTTCATTCACAGCAGGAGTAGTATATATAGGTAGCGAGACGACATTGATTGAGCAGATACAAAGAAATTCTCGTAGTGTGATTGTAGACTTTGGTCATTTCCTGGACTCTGGCTACGCAATGAAGTGGGTGCGGGGCACGTTGGAAAAGCAGAGTCTACAACTGAGCTTGGCACTGCTCGAATAACCTGACACTCTAGACAATAGACCTGAACAACGAGAGATCTCTACGTGCAAGCAAATGTCTCTCTTTTGTGCTTACTCCAGTCTATCATATCATCCACACTAATCCATCTACACACCTTTCATCGCCATCTCAGCGTCCATAAACGACCATCACCCTCAATTCCATCTCCACCACCTCAATCCTTGACCACTTTCCCAACAATCCACCCCTCAGCATACCTCTTCCCCGCCCCCGCCTCCGGAATCTCAACTTTGAACCCTCCACCCACATCACCCCTCCCCTCCTCCTCCTTACCACCACCCTCTCCAACCACCACAAAATCCTTAATCTCCTTAACCGCCAACCCCAAACTCACACAACTCGCCACCATCCTCTTAACCTCGTCCTCCCAACTCGTCTTCACACCCTCCGCCTTCGCCGTCGCAACACCCAATCTCTTGTATTCGGAAAACGCTGCTTTCGCCGCCTTGATACGGTCGTCTACTTCTTGCCAGAGCACACTATCCTTATCTTGAACGTCCTGAACGAACGCCTCGGGCGGGGGTTCTGGACTGGATGGAACCGGTCCATAAGGCTGGCTATACGCTTTGAAGTCATCGAACGGCGGTGCTTCGGGTGGTTGCAAAGCGAGGAAAGGTTTCATTCTGAGTTCATACCGTAGTTTCTCTGTGGAAAACGGAGTGCGGCGGGGCATGGGTAGTTTACCCAAGTAGCCGCAGATGACGTAGAAGCGGGCGAGAGCCAAGGCCAAGGATGCGGTTCCCTCCGTCTCGACGAGCAGGGAGTCGAGGAAGGGTGACGCTTCTTCCACGTCCTGAACCTCTCTGAAGCGTCGCGATTTAAGAAGCTCGGTGGAGATACTGAGGTAGTGTGCTTCCACCCTCTTCAGCAACTCTTTCCGTCGTGTAGCGATGAGCGAGAGGAAGAGGTACATGCCCGCGTACTCATCTGGCAGGTAGATGTCCTGTTCGAAACCGAGTAAGATGACCTTTTCAATCATCCACAGCTTCTTGTGGTAGACCCAGGTGGAGAGGGAGAATTCCATGACTTGGGCACCCTGACCAAGGGTGGCCGCCGCGGAGGAAATGTCCATGTCGATTGAGCTTGCGTCGGCTTGCAGGAGGTCCCAGCCTGTGATGACGTGCGTCAACATGCGTCTCAGTCGACAGCGGTTCTGGCCCATGGCGACCCAGAGATCGAGGTAGGCCTGACCGGCGCGGTCTACGAATTCGTCGATGAGCATGGCGAATTGGAGGCGTGGGGGTTTGGGGATGAGAGCATTGCGCGGGGGTGACATTGTCCAGTTGATGGGGTCTATGACGGGTGAAGACGGAAAGACGAGTGTCTTTACGTCGACGAGAGGGAGGGAGACGGAGGCGTTGAGGACGTCGGGGTGGAAGAGTAGAGTTGCTAGGTAGGAGCGGGCGTATGTCAGTGGCGGTGGTGAGCGAGCGGAGAAGTGCCATAAGAAGGACTGGTATTCGAGGGGGTCTTGCGGAAGAGCTGGGAAGCGCGTGGCTTCTGCGCAGTCGGTGGCTATCTGGTGTAGCTTTTCCAACGCATCCTTGAAGTCGAGTTCTACGACAGGCCGTGGGGGTACTGTGGACGCGAGACGGCGTTGCATCTTCGGACTGAAAGCACCAGGCACGGCCTTCCCAAGCTGATGCGTATTCTTCAGCGAATCGATACCTTGAAGTATTGGTGGCCATGAGTAGGATATCTGGTCGAGCGATAAATCCAAGTCGAGAGCGCGGAGGAAGTCTTTCCGGAGTTCTAGCCTGGAGGTAATAGCCTTCCGAAGCGCGTCGTTGATCTCAAAGTCGGGACTACGATGTGTTAGCAGGTCATCAACTATCCAGTCCGCGGTAAAGCATACTCCTCAATCGTCTCCATTGCCGCATCCAACTCCCTCAAAAACACATCCATCGGCACACTAACAAACAACACCCGATTATACGTATGCGTGCAAAAGTCCTCCTCTTCAAAGTAATCCCTGCCCGTAATCTTGGCAATCACGAAGTCGCATCCTTTGATCAACGCTAGACAATACGCTCTCAGTACTTCCAGCAATGGTCCAGGTCGTCTTTCATGCAGGATCTCTCCACGGTAGAACTGAGCCTGCTCGAGAATCTTAGTCTCGGGCCAGAGCAGCTTATCGATGTGCAAAGACGTGAAGAGGGTCTGGGATAACGGGTAGCCGGTATGCCAGGCCATTTCGTAGCAGAGTAGTTGGTCCATGATGCCTATTAGTTCCTCGGGTAGAAGGGGGGCCAGAGTGTCGTAGTCGTCTTCTAGGGTTTCTCCGGGCTGGAGGAAGCCGCTGTCCATTTTGGGGTCCATGATCTGTTGCATGTGAGAAAGAGAATCTGATTCTCGAAACAAGAGCGATGTACCTCGATGGCCCCGATCGACTCAAACAGCGTAAAGTATTCATCTTTGACGAGTTGACCGACTTCGAGAGCTGAATGATGTTAGTCTTTGTTGCCTGAACACATCGTCGCTACCACCGTAGTGCGACATGACGAGGCAGCCCCGCCATGCCCCTCCATGTACCTGAGATGGCAACTCACCATTACAAGCCCTCGTAAACTTGTCCGTCACATCATGAATCTTTGGCTGCGTCCCCGTGACCGGGTGTCTTGATTGTCTCAAGGGTAAATTAGCGGAAGTAGAGGCCGAGATGGTAGGCGCAGACTCTTGCGCATGCGAGGGGCCTGTGCATCATCAGTATCGACTGCTCTAACGCAGAAGTAAAAGAAACAATTACCAGCCCCGTCAACGGCTACACCTGTGTCATGATCCGGGGTGGGGGCTGTGCTGTGGCTGCTAGACGCATCTGCCATGTTGTGGTGGAGTCGATGCCGATGCGGGAAGATTTGTGACAGCCGAGTTGGACAGGCGCGCGTCCGAGGCAAGCGGCAACATTACTGGTAGTCACGACCGTGATATCACTTCTACTTCACGAGCGCATTGGATTATTGGGGAGAGTGAATGTCGGCTCAATTGTTGGTGTGCATCGGCTTTGATTCCGCTCCAGCTTGATAGTACAGCTTATACGTCTATCCTCCCCAAGCGTCATCTCTCCTCCGTTGCCCATGCCACTCCATCGTGTCTATGCCATGTCCCTTGCTCTCAATTGCTTTACGAGGTCTTGGCGGCATCGGCCTGTGCCTGGAGCGCCGCAGCGTTGAGCTCCTTCAGCTCGCCCTGCTTGCCGTTCTGCCCATTTCGTTAGCCCAGCCCAACTTCCTCATTCCATCCCATCCCCATCATCCTGACTCACCTCCCACTTGGCGAAGCGGAGTTCGCTCTCGCCCCTTCGCTCGGCAGCGATGCGCTTGTCCTCCTTGAGCGAGCGGCGCACGACGCGCGATGCGACGGCGATGTAGCGGTTGTAGCTGTTCAACAGTCAATGGCGGGTCCAAATCTGAGGCTGCAGCGGCTGCAGAGGTGGGCGGGCGTACGTGAGACCGGCGGCTTTCCACGCGAATGCCATTGTGATGGTAGGATGCGGGTTCGTGGGTGTGGACGGGGTTTGGGTTGCGGGTGCAGGTGTTGAAGTTGCTGAGCTCCGGCGAGATTTCGCGCATGCGGCTCGGAGCTGCAGATCACGTGCACATATGAGGTACGGGAAGCGTTTTGGGTAAACTGTACCCTGGCGTATACGTAACATTTTACTTGATGGAAAGCAATTACAAAAGACACTGAGTACCTCCAAGCTGTCACTGGAGCACTCCTAAGACAAACAGAAATTCGTAATCGTGTTCATTATATTTTCATAGCCAGGCAGCTACATCATGATCTACATCTCTCGTCAAGCGGGCATACTGAGTCTTGCAGGTTGCACGCTTCCCTACAACTCCATGGCCTCTCCGCCCTCGGCGTTATCATCGCCGCCTTCCCTGTTCTCAAAGGTAGCGTCCAGCCACTCAGCGACATCCTGGCCTTCGTGGTGCACAAAGTCCTCGCCAATACCGCTGATGCCGACGCTGGTGTTGTCGACAGTCAGCTCCTTGTCTTGTGACAGCGACTCCTTCAGCGCCCTCAGTGCGTGCTT